CCATCCTCACTAAATACCTGAACAAACCCATCATCATAACTACTAGCATATACTTCACCATTAGTATGAACAGCAACACAAGCAGTACCGCTCCCCACATAAAAGGATCTCTGGTTAGTTAGTGTGGTATAGTCTCTTGATGCTTTTACTGACAGTTGATAAGGACTACCTTTAATATGGTGACCTCTTATAGTCACTGATAGTTCATATCCACCAATACTTTGAGGTGTGCATGATACAATGGCTGTGTTCTTATCATTAACTATAACAACTCTACCCTCCTCTTTACTACCATCACTTTTGATAAAGGAACCCTTCAAATAGCTCGCTGCTTTATCAATGCCTGCTGGTAGAGACACTTTGAATTTCCTTTCTTTCTTTACTGTTGCCAATGGAATAGCTAACCCACTATCAATGGAGTATGAAGCTGGATCAGCTTCAAAAATACTGCCAAATTTACGAATTTCATCACTAATAGCTGCAGTATTAAGACATGCTAAGACTACTTTTTTGTCTTCTATTTCTAGAGGTAGCTTCTTATACTCTTCAATGCATTCCTCTAGTTGATTGGTGATTAGCTTCTTAACACTGAGAACTTCACCTGGATCAGTACGCTCACTCACTGATGATGCAAGATAACGACCATGAGAAACCTGTTTTACCAGTTTACAAAACCCGTCCAACTGCTTCTCGACAGAATTCCTCTTAGCCCTAGCAATCTCTTCTGTCTCCATTAGTAGATCATTGCATCTCTTATCTAAAGCAGCTTTAAGCTTTTCAAACGTTTCCTTGATTTCCTGCCTTACTTCTTCTTTACGTGTTGCTATCTGCTCTAGCATCTTCTCTCCATTAGCAATAGCTTCAGTGACTGGAGGAATGACTCCATCACAACTAGCAACACTTTCCTTTAATGCTTTACGTGCTGTTTCTCCTACGTCAATGTAATCTTCTATATTGTGATCCTTGTGTTTGATAGGTAGGCAGTTAGGACAGACTAATTTCTCGCAATCATGACAATAGTATATCAGCTTTTGATCTGTATGCCGATCACAATACCCCTCTTCATGCTTAATAGTAGGCAGTTTGACGGATTCCTTTGTTTCTAGACCAATCAACTTGTGATTGGCTTTTTTCTTGTTTCGCTTATGAACTTTCTTGCAAAGATCACACAGAAACTGCCCACAATCACAGCAATACACAACAGCTGCATCACTGGAATCATCACATTCATCACACGATATTGCTTCCTTGCTGAGAATTTTCTTTTTGATCGAAGCCTCTTTTGATTTATGTGCAAACCAAAGGTTTTGAGTGAGGCCTTTAATTTTACCATCAGGTAAATTAACGCTAGTGTCACACGTTGGACACTTTAATGAGGTATCAGCACTACCTTGCTTCTCTTTAGCTTTTATTAGACACTTCTTACAGAATGAGTGAAGACAGGGAAGCATGAGGGGGTCAGTGTAATACTCTGAACAAACCTCACAAGTCATAGTGATAGCTGGACTTGTGTTTTCTGCCATTTTCTATGAAGAAAATTAATTATGTGTATATCATAATACCACTGACTGAAGTATGTTACTTTTAAGAAGTTTTCTTAGTCAAAAAGCAAGAGAATAGATGAAAATGAACTGTAACGAGACGAAAGAGAGAAAGGCAAAAAGCATGCAACTCCACCTTAAAGTAGTCTCGCTGCCCAGACCATTCCCCAGCCTACAGTCATATTGGGGCGGACGGCGGGGAAGGGTCTGGTATTTTGACTTACCTGCCCTTGTTCCGCGCAACCAAAAAAAGAAGTCCCAATCAGATTTCAGATCGTCACAATTTCGTCATTGTGACAATTTGTGTCACATGATTATCACGTGAATGTTAAACAAAAATGGCCGAGTGTATGACTATCTGTGTGGCTTGTGGATCTGTGACTGTTCCTGGTCAAAGAAGGATCTTGGGAACTTATGACTC